ATGAAGTATTAGCCAATTTTGAATGTAGAGGTTAACCAATTTATTAATTGTATTATTAATTATATACACATAAAATATAATATATTTGCTAATAATATTCATATTATAATATTCCTATTATGATAAAACATGAGCTATTACAAAAGAAAAAAAATCTATAGTCAGTTTCTATTAAAAAAAAAATATGAATGCATTAGAAATCAGGGTATGGTTGACATTCTTACTAATACCTACATTTCCATATATACTCATTCGTCACTCTCATTTGGATCTTTTCCATCATCTGATTTTTAGGACTTAAGTGGTTTAGGAGTTTCATGAAAATTGATACGTGAATTTAACACATCTAATTCATTTCTATTATCATATTTTGATGCTACTTTCTTAATAATAGCTTTTATCAACCCTGTATATTCTAATTTAGTCTATCGAGATGCATTAATAGGAGTCTTTATTTCATCAGCAGTAAAATTATTATTATCATAAATTTGCGTGCATTTTTTTTTATCAGGCTTTTGCTGATAAAAGATTGCATCTAGGTAGCCTCTTAAAAATGTACACAACTTGAAAATATCAAATGAATGAGTATTGTTGTAAATTGTGAAAACATTTATCTTATACTTACAGTGTTGCTCTTCTAACTCAAATCTCGTATTATAATACAATGATCTCCTATATTCAATTCTTTATCATTTTCTAAAACCTCCGGACTATGATAGGCACTTTTCATTAAAATTAGATTAAATTCTATTTGTCAGAATTTCAAAATAATCAGATCTCTCATTTTTTGTAAGTGGTTAATTACGTTAGCCCTTTGTATTCTTTTCTATTAATAAATTTATTATATATTGAATGATTAGTTGAATACATAATTAATAAACTAATTGGTTTATTATCTCCTTTCTGTGAGAATTCCCATGTTGATGTTAGGTTTCTTTTATTTGTATAGCTTTGTCCTTTTTTTTCCTTAACATTTCCTCCTTTTGGTGGCGATGGCATTGATGAATTATTTCATAAAGGACATCTTTGCCAATTGAGTACATTTCTAGATCTAATACCTTTAATAAAACAGGTATTATTAATGTCATCGCTAATCTCTTTTGTAATTCAAATGTTTTATTAATATCAAGTTAGTTATTTCTAGCATTCGTTAGATGTTTCAGAAGATATTTTGCTAAATATTTATTGATTTTAATTAATAAAATCTATAAATAAAAATGATCTGAAAAAAATCTTTTACTTACACGCAAAGCATTACACAGATTTTTTGTTAAATCTGATAAGTGGAGGTATATTATTTTCCTGAGGATATTGTTTCAATTATTATTTTCTTTAGCACTTGAACGAGAGGCTGATCATTGTCATTTTCGTCTATTTCTTAGCTTCTTTTTTTTCTTTTTCATTATCACTGTCTAAAATAATTGGATTATCTGAATTATTCTGGGATTTAGAAGAACTCACAATGTCATATTTTTTAGATATTTTATGAGTAGCCAGCTTTTTACCAATTGATTTATTCGATACAGATAATTTACTTGTATTTATATGCTGAAATTTAGAATTAAATCCTTTAGGTTTATCTCCTTTTATTTTTCTCTTTCAGCCCATTTTATATATTCCAATAAATAATTCGCTTGATCTTGTTTGGTAAATGAATCTTTTAAAATAGTAATGAAAAGATGTAATAAGGATTGCATAATCATATAACATTAAATTATTATAATAAAAGCTTATCAATTTCAATATATTTATTTCTGGAATGCTTCTCTTTAATTGCTGTTTCTAATTCCAGATCTAATTTTAAAGAAAATTTGATATCTTTCTAGGTTCAGGAGACGAACTGCTATTGCAGCTCTTAGAATTTTTTAGCTTTTTAGGTTCAGGGAATGAACTGCTACGATAATTCTTAGAATTTTTCAGCTTAGAATTTCTCAGCTTTCTAGGTTCAAGAGACAAACTGCTACTGCAGCTCTTAGAATTTCTCAGTTATCTAGATTCAGGAGATGAACTGCTACTACAGCTCTTAGATTTTCTTAGTTTTCTAAGTTTAGATGATGAACTGCTACTGCGGCTTCTGATTTTTTGATTCACAACTCTTCGATTTTCTGAATTCTAAGGGCTCATGACTTTTCAATTTTCTGGAATCTAGAAGCTTATAAATTATTAGTTCTAGTGACTTTGTACTTCTTGTTCTAGATCTGCCTCTTTCACAACTCTTGAATTTTCTCGTTGATATAGTGAATAAATTTTAGAAGGTAGAATAAAATAACTAATGTTAAATAATTAATAAAATATAAAAAATCAGGAGAAGAAGTTTGAAAAATAGTTTCTTTTATATCTCTGGAAACAGACTTTTTTTATATCAATCGTCATAAATTAGACTTTCTGAATTACTATAAAAATAGACTTTTAAGCTTTTAATGTAATGTATTCTTAAAAATCATATGAAATTTTAATTAATTAACCGCAATATCAAAATCATACAACAAAAATACTTTCAGGCTATTGATTATAATCTTAGACTATTGATCAATTAATTATTTTTAATAACCTTTTATCAATCAGGCTAAACATGTAACTTTATTTTTAATTTTTTAAAGAATA